GAGCCGAACACGAGTTGAGCCCAGCTCAGCTCGTGTTCGGCTCGTTTACACCCCTAATTGCCGCCGAAGGCAGCTTCTTTGATGTAAATAACAATATTTAAGTGTTAAATATGTAAATTCTAATAATTTGAATGCTTTGTATGTAAATCCCTCTTAAATAAAAGTTTATGATCCCCTCAAGTAACCCTAAACCCTAATACCAACAATTAGTTTGGGGCAGCTGTAGCTATTTAAAGGAGCAGTTTGTAAAGCTACTGAAGAAAAAATTGTTGTTCAAAAAATCGGACATAATTTTTCTAGCTATCACCGCAGGTTGCCAGATATTGTAAGAAAACACAGCTTTTAGCTGCAGTTTTTTGAGAATGCAGACAAAACGTAGTTCGTGCAGTAGGGTTAGTGGTTTAATCCAAAATTTGTCAAACAATGTGTGCTCTCAATCTAACTTATTATTTCTCTTAGGCCGTGTTTTCGTACATAGTATTCATAGAGTTTAATCATGAATTTAACTTAAACCTACTAAACAAAAAAAATAAAATAAAAATTAAATTCGTATTTGCTCGTGTTCCGTCATTTTTTTTTCGCATTATGTCATTTATTAAATCCGATTACGAGACGAATTTATTCCATCATCACTGATAAGCTCCTCCATCGTAGATACGATTTATTAAATCCGTATTAATCAGATTTGATAAATACTACCAAACACCGCCTCATTCTTTCATCTAAGAACTCTATATGCATCATTTCTAACATGTTCCTCAACCTTCTTTCACTGCTCTTTTCCTCCAAACCTTTTTCAGGACTTCATTGGCCGCTCACAAAAGGGCATAAACTCGCTCGAAGCAAGGATCAACCACCTCGAAGCGACACTCAACGAAATCTCTCATGACTTCGCCGTGTCATCGGCGGCGTCGAATGGCTGCCGTGCATCAAAAACATGTTGCACGTTGCTGGGTGCAGAATTCCTCAGTTCAAAATTCTGGAGGAGGAGGGACTGCAGATATGATCCCAGATTTCTTGCTGATATAAATGATTTGGATGACAGACAAAAAATGAAATTTACAAACCCCATTGCAGAAATCAATCCTTGTTCAAGAGGAAATTTACGGTTTGGTCCAAAAGGATTGCAGGAAATTGTAAATGGTGATGGTGGAAGCAAGCATGAGGAAGGGGGGCTAGGTATAAATCATTTTATATGAACTATTATGCTATTATGAGGTAATCATATCTTCTTTCTATATCTTGTTCTTCATCACTGTAACTTTAAATTGGGGTCCGCCCATCGATCAAACTTTAGGGTTGATCAACAATCAACCTTTTTGAAGATATATATATATATATATATATATATATATATATATATATATACATATTAAAAGTAACGAACAGAGGCTATTATATGAGCGTCCAATCACCCCTAATATGCCTAACAATATGATTACCACGACGAAGATCTACATGCAGATCACTCAATTACTAAGTATTTACATATCTAACACTTAAATTGTTGCATGCATATGTCTTACCTATACATGAAAAGATGTATTTCACATTTTAGTTTGCACATTTTAGGCATATATAACATAAATCACTTTTAAAGAGTCCCTAATATGCCTAAAATTTCAGTTGGTATAAATATAAAGAGTAAACTTTATTTATCAGATATATAAATACATAGGAATTGGTTGGTATGTGTGGAAATGGCCCTAAATAAAATCTAAGTAATGGCATTATGTGTAATCATCATGCATACATTTGGCATCCTTTTCATAGCTTAATTGGCACGCCAACAGTTTGCTGTCTTCATATGTGAATTTAGAAATTATAAAATGTGCAAACCTCTTTCAAATTTATGTTGTAATAAATTATTTATTTCTATAAAATGTTTTATGATTTTTATTTTTTATGCTGTATAGGTCTAAGTCTGTATATATGTGAGAGGCTGCAAGTCTCAAGAGAAAGAACGTGGACTTCTACAAAGAGTTATAAAGAGAATATTTCAGCAGGTCTTGGCTTATTAATCTGTACGTAGGAAGTATTATCATTTGTTTGCATATTTATAGTGGTATTTGGATCTTATCTTGAAAATGATCCCTTCTTGTAAAATATATTTCATTAATGTTTGATTTTAGGGGCAGTTAATTACTTGCCACACAATCCTTATGTAATTACATAGCTAACATCTAACTTTAACTCTCTTACATTGCTACCATTAAATTTTTTTATATTACATAAAACTATCACTATTTTAATTCCTAAAAGGTGAAATACACATTTTCATGCATAAATAAGGTGGCATGTATATGAAAAAAATGAAATTTATATTATACATATATATAAATACATAAGAATTGAGCGGTATGTAAGCGAACCTTTATTTTTTTAGTTGTTTTGTATACCATTCTATTTACACATAAATGTATACTTTTTAGTTTACAAGTTTATCTCTTATGATCTATTTCGTTTAAATTTTGTTTGTGCTTCAGTATTGAACAGGTTCGTATCGTATCATAGCTCTTACAATAGTCATTGCTTTTGTGCTCTTATATCTTACATTCTTCTCCTTATTTTTACCTAATGGAACCAAAGTGACCCATCCATTGTCCCAATAACCGTCATTTCAATTACCCCTACCCTAAAATTTCTCATGACCATCATCAAATTCTTAGCAAACACAATTCACAAGATAGACAACTATCCTATTTGGAGCTCCCAAATACTTGCACTATTTACAACGAATGAATTTGAAAGCCTTCCCTCCATTTTGAGTGGAGAGTCTTCTTCTTAGGGTTTTGGTGTGTAAACATCCCTCAACACCTCATTCTCAAGCCCTCATTCCAAAAAAAATTCAGTTGCCAGAGGTGGTGCTTTTCACGGCTGGAGGAGTTCGTGTAGCAGGGTTAGTGGTTTGAGCCCCCTTCCAGCCTTCTGAGATGTTTTGAGTCTCCACTCACTTCTTTTTCTTCACTTTTGGTTTGAGATTGGTTGGTTTATTTGCTTTCTAGAACCCCCCTCGAGTCGTCATCCCACGAAAAAGTGAGTGTGAAGATCCCCTTGCCTTTCAACCATCGATCTCTAGAGCTACATCGCCAAAGCTATCGCCGACACAAGGCTAGAAGGACATGCAAAAGGTGCCAGAGTACACCATACCCTAAGTACGACATTCAACCATCACATAGGTGAAAAAAGAACTTCAACTTTCTCACCTTTTTTCCTCTATCTATAGCCTTAGGATGTTGGTAAAAGAGCTAGGGTTGGCTGTTTTTAGAGAAAACTTAGGTTAGGTCATTTATTTCCTTACCTTACCTTAAGCTCTAGGGCCTTAGTTTAACCTGGCACCATGGCACCATCATCAGGCGTCGCGACTCCATCTACTTGTTTTTGAACCCCCACCTTGGCGTTGTGTTTGGCCCCTAGGCTCTAGCTCACCACCATGTAGTGACACGTCATTACCTCCATAATGCCATGACACCACTTATCTCAGCTTTGTCGGGTGCCAAGGCATGGTGTATCAGTGCCGTGTCACTTGCTTTGGGCATTTGCTGGCTCCGCGATGTTGTTCTCAGTGTCGTAGCTTAACATACATCATGCTTTTTGATTCTAGAGCACAATGGTATTTCTGGTGCTACAACGCTAGCCCCTTATCTTATTTTAGCTAAGTGTACCAACCCTATTTCCAAAGTCACGATGCTGCACTGTTTGTCACCAGTGTCGCGACATTATACTTTGGCACGACGGTGCTGAGACTTAATTTAGTTTCTTTCATTCTTTTTGGATCATGTAGTCGATGGTCCTCTTACCCATCCACAAAGTCTAAACTATAGCACAAATTAACTCCATATGCTTGAGGTATTTGATAAATTTAAGAACATTAAGTGTCAACTCTCAATCCTTAACCCTCGTGGTCAATTCCCTCTTGTGAACATCAATCATCGCTCTTTGTGGTTAGAAAAGGTCTACCTGAATTTATGAGAATCTATTTATCTTCCTCCATATCTAAAACTATAAAGTTTCTAGGAAATATAAATTTATGCACTTTAACCAGGAAATCCTCTCTAATCCCCTAAGGGTAAGTTAGAGATCGGCTAGCAGGTTGAAGGATGACAGTGGTTGGCCGGTATTCTCATACTCCTAATCTCCTAAAGATCAATAATGGCATAATGTTTATACTAACTCTTAGGTCACATAAGACTTTCGTAAAAAATTTCTCTCCTATAACACAGAGAATGGTAAATATACAAGAGTCCTTAAGTTTCTCAGAGAACTTCTTTTGAAACATAGCACTACACTCCTCGTTCAGACCTACGACATCAAAATCATCTAGCTTCCTTTT